GCACAAAGAGTATTAAAAAAAGCTCATATGGTTGCATGCATTGCTGTTCATTCAGTAGAATGGAGTATTCTGTTAGGTAGTGTATTTAAAAAAAAACGTAGGACCCAATCTAACAAAGTTAGATTGGGTCCTAGGTTTAACATTTATGTGATATAATTGTGAGTAACATTTTGGATATACAATTTATAAGGTTCAGTTATTCAGTATTTATTTGGTTTTGAGTGAGTAAGTGAACTTTGAGAAGAGACTTGAATTTGTAAACAGGTAGTGTTTATATTTACAGGTAATGAATTCCAGATTTTAGGGCCTTTGATGTGCATTGAGTTTTTGCATAGCGTGAGATGGACACGAGGAACATCAAAGAGTGATCTGTGCCTTGTGTTATGGTCATGTGTTCTGTTGAGGTTGGCAAGGAGATGTTTGAGGGGAGGGTTAATATCAGAGTTAAGTGTTCTATGTATGTAATAGGTGCAATAATAAGTATGGATGTTTTGTATGGTGAGTAGGTTGAGTGTTTTGAATATTGGTGGAGTGTGTTGCCTGTAGTGAGAATTTGTTATCATTCTAACTGCAGCCTTTTGTTGGGTAATTAGTGGTCTGAGATGGTTAATTGTTGTTGAGCCCCATGCACAAATTCCATAGGTGAGATAGGGGTAAATAATTGAGTGATAAAGGGCCAGAGGGCTGACTGTGGAACATAGTACCGTATCTTCGATAGTATGCCTACAGTCTTGGAAATTTTCTTAGAAATTGTTGTACATGTGTATGAAATTTGAGTCTATTATCGAGGTGGATTCCTAAGAATTTTCCCTCTGTTAGCTTTGTGATAGGTGATCCGTTTATCGTTATGTTAAGAGGTACATCTGTAGCTCTGTTACCAAACTGAATGAAGTAGGTTTTGTCAATGTTTAGTGTAAGTTTGTTAGTCCTCATCCAGGTAGATATTTTCTGTAATTCGGTGTTTACAGTATTGGCTAGCGTGACTGGGCTCGGGTGAGAGAAGACGTATGTAGTGTCATCTGCAAAAAGTGTGGGTTTGAGTAATTGCGAAGCATTTGGTAGGTCGTTTATGTATAGGAGAAAGAGAAGAGGGCCAAGGACACTTCCCTGTGGGACACCAACTGTAATTGGTTGTGAGGAAGAGCTTGCCCCATTTGCGTACACATATTGGCTTCTGTTGCTGAGGTAAGACTTGAGGTAGTTGAGGAGTGCCCTCTAATACCATAGTGTGACAATTTTCGTGGAGCAAGTCATGGTCAACTGTATCAAAAGCTTTGCGTAAGTCAATGAAGATCCCCAGTGGGACTTCTTTTTTCTCTATTGCATTGTATTATGTTCTAGCATGTGTATAATAGCATCATTAGTTATTTTTATTAGGCCTGAATCCAAATTGGCAGGGGTTGAGAATGTTTTGGGAGATGAGGTAGGAGTAGATTCGTTTATGAATTAATTTTTCGAAGATTTTTGAGAGAGGGTGTAAATTGGATATTGGCCTATAGTTATTCAACTCTGTTTGGTCTCCTCCTTTATGGATCGGGGTGACCCTTGCTATTTTGAGAACTGTAGGGAAGGTGGAGGATTCAATGGATTTGTTAAAGAGTGTTGCAATGATTGGTGATAGTACTTGTGACGCTTTTTTGTATATAAAGGGTGGTAAGTATTTAAATCTCCTGCCTTGTTTTTCAGTGCGTTGATAATAAGGGAGACTTCGTATGGGTTAGTCGGAGCTAGGAACAGTGTGTTCGGGTAGTTGCCAGTGAGGTAGTCATTTGGTGGGGTATCTGAGCTTGGGATTTTATTGGCAAGGTTTTGACCTATAGTGGAGAAGAAATCATTGAGTCTGTTTGCTGTTTCTGTTGGTGGGAGTTGGGTTCATCTGATTTTGCTAATTTTATTTCGCTATATGTCGTGATATCTTTTTTGTTCCCAGAATTTTGATAGGGTCTTCCAGGTCTTTTTTATATCACTCGTTTAGTTGGATAATCTGTTCTCATAATACAATTTTTAGATGGGGTGTAAGAAGGAGTAAAATGCTAGGATGTCGGGAGGAGGTGGTTGGATTAAATTTTGGGGAATCAAATTCCAAAATGGGAATTGACAAAGTTACTTTTTACTGAAGATACTGTCGCTTTATGGGAAGATATTAAAGGAAAAATTGCAAAGGTAGTGGATGTGTTTGGGGAATGTGTGTAAGGTAGAAAGTTTTGAAAGTGAACATAGAAAAAGAGTAAGGTGATGAGGCGTGTCGGATGGAATTAGACTATAGAAAAATTGGAATACCAAATTGGGGAGGAGGGAGTATGGAGAAGTGAATGTTTTCAGATACTTGGAGTTGGAGTGTCGGCGGATTGGGTTTAGATGATGAGGTTATCATAGAATTGATGAGGAAAAAAGGTGAGTGGAGCGTATGAGGTATATGTGGAAGTCAAAAAAACGTTTTCTATGGAGGCAAAGAAGGGAATGTATGAAAGTATAGTAGTACCAACTCTCTTTATGGGTGTGAAGCTTGGGTAGTAAATGCAGCAGCGAGGAGACGGTTGGAGGCAGTGGAGTGTCCTGGTTACCCTTTGACTGTTTCCGACATTAATACGTCTTACAGCCAATCGTTTCTGACGTATTATACGCACAAATTCTAGCTGGTTCAAATCAGCGCCAAAAGGCCTGTAGGCTTCACTGAGAGAAATGGGTCTCATTGGTCGGTGTGAACCCTGTGAAAAAAATCTGGGACCCAAGCGGTGCATTTGTGGGAACGCCATGTTTAGTCCAATTTCACATGCCTTCGGTAAGAAAGGAACGTTCCTCACTCTCGGCGGATTGGGAGGTCTTTTGTTCCCAAAGGTGATAGCTCTAAACAGCGATGAAAATGTCAGTGACAGTGAATAACAGTGTTTTGAAGTGGAGTGTTACCGGAAAAAAGTTCCCAGGGATACGTATAGTGATGAAAAACCCAGATGACCCTACAAACCTTCCACTCTGGTGCTGTGCCGGCTTGTTCACGTTCCGTTCGCCTGTACGGAGGAAAGAGGAAACATATTTGGTCGTGTACAACACCCAGATGATAGCAGTGATGTGATGTGATTTTCAAGGCTTGAAAGCAGTTCTAGTGGGCAGTGAGAGTGGAAATTATTCCCAGTGAAGCGGCCAGTTGTACGACCGTAGCATGCGGTCTGGTAGTGTTTCATATGTTGTTCCAAGGGGAGGAGAATCTGGGAGCAAATCCCGTGGCCTACACCACGACCTGATAGTGAAGTGACGATATTGTTATCGATGGGTATGAATGGTGACAGAGAGGGAGGAGGCAGTGGTGGTTTGATAGTGAGGGTGGCACGGCCATGTGGAACCATCAGCGGGCCACGCTACTACCCACGCTGCTTGGACACAGCACAACAAACAGCCTCACCCTACTGCCCCACACTCCCAAACCTGCACCACCACAACCAGACAACCAAACTGCACAACCACAACCATGGTACAAATATCCAGACCCCCCGCAGACTGCATTGGGATTGGCAGGCGATGGACGAGTTTGTTCCCAGTCCCCATGGACTTTGATGAAACACAAAGGTGAATAAAAGCCATCTTGTACACTTGGGAAACAATGCAGTGAACTGGACTGCTTTGAGTTATTCTTCGATTGAACCTCTGATGGACATAATGTCAGGGAAACAAACACATACTGTGATTACACCATGGCAAATCAATTCTCTCACCAAAATCACGGCCTACACAAGTGGAAAGGAGACAACTGTGGCAGGGATGTACCTGTTTTTCATGGCCACAATAATGCTTAGCCACTTGTGTATAAGCACCACTGTACCACATAGTGGGCAACCAGAACGCCTGATTTCAACTCCAGGTTTTTGTGACATTATAGTGTCGATCGTTTCCTGATACTGTTACGTATGTTGAACTTTTCAGACCAAAACAGGCCTGACAGAAGCGACAGGTTATATAAAGATCTGGAAATGTGTTTATGTACCTGAAAAAAAGTGCTGCATGTATTTTTATCCCTTCAGGTAAGCTTGTTATTGATGGTCCTTGATTTATCAAAGGAAGACTCTATTCAAGCAATATATTCCAAAGCAAGAGGAAACGCTTGGTATAAAGCTATTTGTACTGTGTGATTGCAGAAGTGCGTCTAGTTTTGGATATAATTGTGTACACTGGCAGTATTACTTTGAGAGATACATGAAGTGATTGGGTATCTCTGGTGATGTGGTTCGAACAATGATGGAACCATATATTGGTAAGGGCATATGTTATTTACTGATAAAACTGGTACACAAGCCCGTTACTCAGTGAGTTCTTTGCGAGTGAAATTGACAGACACGTGTGGCACAGTGCGTGGTAATCGTAAACATATATGCCATGGTTTCAACGCTGGCACTCGCAGAGGTGAGGTGCATAGCCTTTGCTGCCAATGAATCATGGCATTTCGGTGGCTTGACAAATGTGATGTCAATTGTTGACATCTGTTCACAGGAAACGAAATGGTACAGAAATGGCCAGGGACCAACAGAGAGAACAATGAACCCATTCTAAAGCCTGCGCTGTCATGGACTACAACCTCAATATGCGCTTAGTGGACAAATGTGACATGCAGATTGGTTTGCAGACTGGTGTCGCAAGAGTTATTAGTGGTATATAAAAACTTTTTTCCATCTTGTTGATATCTCTATGCTAAAATGCTTATACATATACAAGTTGAAGACCAACAAAAAACATCAAAAATATGTGTGAATTTTGCTGTCAGTAATCAGACAAATAATTGCAAAGTACCAAGGAGCAACTCCTGCAATTGACCAGCGCCCACCCACACACGTCATCTCGTTTGAGGCTCGTTGATCACTACCCCATACCAACTGCCTCCTAATACTGCCAAGAAAAATGCTCAGAAAGAGGTGTTTTATGCATGTATGCATACCACAAAACGCCACAAACACGCAGAGACACTCGTTTATGTGTGAGGAGTGTGAAGTGCCCCTCTGCATATACCCCATGTTTCAAAGAGGTTCCACAAGCTGCAGCAGTTCTAGGGAAACGTGTGTATTGATTGTACATATGTATATATATCTATGGAACAATAGTATTAAATTACATTGTTTTGTATTGTTTGTTTGTGTAAAAAAGTGTATACACAAACTAATGGTGGATATAAAGTTTGTTTTGTTGTGTTGTAAACAATGAGATGTATATTTGAAGGAATGCACCTTACATTGGTCTCACAGGGCCACATAAGTTACCTGGAACAGAAAAATATTGAAAAATGCAAGAAAAACCTTTGAAAAGAGTAAATAAAAGAATACCGGGTGGGTGGCGGTCGCCGCTGTTGCCGTACGCACGTAACTTTCTGCAAACTGGGTCTATATCTCGCTGTGTAATTACTGATGGCACAAAAAAATTTTTTAGGTTAAACACTACTAAAAATATATTCCTAACATTTTCATAAGGAAATAAAATAATTTTTTTTTTTTCGAATATTTGGCGACATAGATGACAGTTTCAGAAGAGGGGCCTGAAACAGTTCAAAGGAGTTAAGGGCAATGTGTGGTTGTAAATTTATGAGAAAATTCGGAGTGTGGAAATAGGAAAGGAAAAATGTTGTGGATTAATAAAAGTTTTAGTTCAGAGGGGCAGATGAGGGGTTGTTGAGGTGGTTGGTCATTTTGAAGAGAAAGGATCAAAGTAGAAGGACATGGAAAGCATATAAATCTATAGGGGAAGGAAGGCGGGGATAGGGGTCGTCCTCGAAAGGGTTGGAGAGAGGGGGGTAAAGAGGTTTTTGGGCCACAACGGGGCTTGGACTTCCAGCAAGCGTGCGTGAGTGAGCGTGTTTCGATAGGAGTGAATGGTGACGAATGGTACTTGGACCTGACGATCTGTTGAGTTGTGAGCAGGGGAATAATTAGTGAAGGGATTCAGGAACGGTTATTTTCATATAGTCGGACTTGAGTCATGGAAATGGGAAGTACAATGCCTGCATTTTAAGGGAGGGGTTTGGGATATTGGCAGTTTGGAGGAATATGTTGTGTATATTTATATGTGTATGCTTCTAAACTGTTGTATTCTGAGCACCTCTGCAAAAACAGTGATAATGTGTGAGTGAGGTGAAAATGTTGAATGATGAAAGTATTTTCTTTTTGTGGATTTTCTTTCTTTTTTGGGTCACCCTGCCTCGGTGGGAGACGGCCGACTTGTTGAAGAAAAAAAAAAAAAATACCAACCACTCCAACAATATATCCCCCCCTGCTTTTTACATTTCTGTCATGATCCCGTCAGTTCCATCTGCTATACCCCCTTTCATTCTACGTGATGCCTCACGCACTTCCCCCACACTCACATCCTGCTGTTCTTCACTCCTAAAAGATGGTATACCTCCCTGGCCAGTGCATGAAATTACCTCCTCCCTTTCTTCGACATTTACAAGTTCCTCTAAATATTCCCGCCATCTACCCAATACCTCTATTTCCCCATCTACTAATTCCCCTACTCTGTTTTTAACTACAAATCCATTCGTTCCCTAGGCTTTCTTAACTTGTTTATCTCACTCTAAAAATTTTTCTTATTTTCATCAAAATTTGTTGACAGTGCCTCTCCCACTCCATCTGCTCTCCTTTTACACTCTCTCACCACTCTCTTCACCTTTACTTTTACTCTCATATACTCTGCTCTTTCTAACAATTCTGTTTTGTAAAAACACTTCATAAGCTACCTTTTCTTCTTTTATTTACACCCTTTACTACATCATTCCACCAAACTCATCCTCTTTCTCCTGCACCACCTTCCTATAGCCACAAATTCTGCCAATATTCTAATACTGCATTTTTAAAACTATTCCAACCCTCTTCAACCCCCCCTGCCACTACTCAAACTTGCACTAGCCCACCTTTCTGCCAATATTTGCTTATATCTCACCCAAACTTCTTCCTCCCTTAATTTATACACTTTCACCTCTCTCTTACTTCTTGTTGCCATTTCCCTTTTGTCTCATCTACCTCTAACTCTAACTCCATGTGAAAAATGCATTTCTTTAATCCTTTAAGAATACACAATACTGTATTTGACATTCAGTATCTGGAGATACTTGGGTCAGCCAAGACAATAATAAGCACAAAGCATAAAATACATGGAATACTCACACTCTGTATCACAATCAACTTTTCCAATAACCACCCGCCCTTTGTCTGGGAAAATTTCTTGAACTTTATCAGCAGTCTCATCCCACGTGGGCGCTAAAATGTTACTAAAACGACACCAGTCTGCATAAAAGTTTATGAAGACCAGCTCATTATTACCTGTAAGACAATAAATGATTAAAAACAAAAACATTTCTTTTAATATGCTGGTCATCTCCCACCAAGGCAGGGGTGACCCAAAAATAAAAGAATCAGTTTCACCATCATTCACACCATCACCGTCTTGCCAGAGGCACCCATATACAACAATTTTGATGTCATTCTAAACAGAAAATATCCGAAACCCTATCTTTATGTAATAAAAATATACATTGCGTATACTATATGTATAATGTACAGTGGAAGCTTGGTTTTCATGATTAATCCGTTCTAAAAAGTCTGACAAAGACTGAATTGTATGAAAACTGACGCAATATTTCCCATGAGAAATAATGTAAATCCAATTAATCCGCTCCAGATACCCAAAAATATTAACAAAAAATACATTTTATAGAGAAAAACTATAGTTTTACATGCAGAAAACAATGAGAAATAAATATAAATGAATAGTGAAATGGATAAAAGAATATTTAACATCACTTTTACCTTTATTGAAGACTCTTGTTGGCGTATGGAAGATGGCGAGGAGGGGAGAGGAGGAGAGGTTATTGTTTGGAAAGGAAATCCTCTTCCATAAGGACTTCAGGTATCAAGGCCCTATCCGGGGTTACTTCCCTTCTTTGTCTTTTACTGGCACTAGGACCAGCTTGAGAGTCACTATACCCCCTGTCAAACAAAAAATCTGTCCGAAGAGGTTTGTTCCTGGCATCTCTTTAAAATCTGCATAAAATGGGACAAGGCATTGTCACTGAACATATTGCAGACATGGCTTGCAACAGCTTTGTTAGGGTGATATTTCTCCACAAAACTTTGCAACACACTACACTTTGCACACATGTCCTTAATCACTGAATAAGGCACATTCTCCCCTCTTTCTTCCTCCTCCTCTGAAGCAATTTTCTCAGCTGGTGTCTGGTGCTGTTCCAGCTGAAGGACTTGCAGCTCTTCAGTAGTTAGCTCCTCCCTGTGGTCATCCACCAACTCTTCCACATCCTGGCTACTCACATCCAACCCCATGGACTTCCCCAAAGACAACAGATTCCACAATAGGCATAGGGTCATCAGAGTCAGCCTCAAACTCTTCAAAATCCTTCTCGAGGACACATTCTGGCCACAATTTTCCCCAAGCAGAGTTCATCGTCCTGGAAGTCACTCCCTGCCAAACCTTATCTATAAGGCTTATGCAAATGAGAATATTGAAGTGATTCCTCCAAAATTCAGTATCTGAGGTCACTTCAAAGCACCTTTGAAATAGTGCTTTGGTGTCGAGTTTTTTAAAGTTTGAAATGACCTGCTGGTCCATGGGCTGGATGAGAGGAGTGGTATTAGAGGGCAAGAACTTCACTGTGATGAAACTAAACTCCTCCATCAATTGGTCTTAAAAGTCTGGAGAATGAGCAGGAGCACTGTCTGTTACCAGGAGGCACTTGAGTGGCAATTGATTTTCCAGGAGGTATTTCTTCACACTTGGGCCAAACACTTCATTGACCCATTCAATGAAAATTTGCCTCGTGACCCATGCCTTAGTGTTAGCCTTCCACATCACACACAATTTACTCTTGATGACATTTTCTTGAACACTTGGGGATTTTCAGAGTGATACACCAGTAAAAGCTTCACTCTGAAATCCCCACTAGCATTACCACAGAACAAAAGTGTTAGCCTATCTTTCATAGGCTTGTGTCCTGGCAGTGCCTTTTCCTCCTGCATGATGTAGGTCCTCTTTGGCATTTTCTTCCAAAAGAGGCCTGTTTCATCACAACTGAAGACTTGTTGGGGGAGGAATCCTTCAGCCTCTATGTACTCCTTGAATTCATCAACAAATTCTTCGGCACCACGTTTGTCGAAATTTGCAGCCTCACCATGCCTTACCACACTGTGTATGCCAGTTTGCTTCCTGAATTTGTCAAAACAGCCTCTGCTGGCCTTATTCACTAACAGCTGCACTTGTTCCAGGTACAGTGGACCCCCGCCTTACGATATTAATCCGTTCCTGAGAGCTCAACGTAAGCTGAAATTATCGTTCGCCAAATTAATTTTCCCCATAAGAAATAATGGAAATCAAATTAATCCGTTCCTGACACCCCAAAGTATGAAAAAAAAAAAAAAATTTACCACATGAAATATTAATTTTAATACACACAAACTGAAGAAGACATGCACAATTACTGCTCTACTAAGAATATAATACATGATACTTACCTTTATTGAAGATCTGGTGATGATTGATGAGATGGGAGGAGGGGAGAGTGTGGAAGTCATTGTTTAGAAGGGGAATCCCCTACCATTAGGACTTGAGGTAGCAAGTCCTTTTCCGGGGTTACTTCCCTTCTTTTAATGCCACTAGGACCAGCTTGAGAGTCACTGGACTTCAGTCGCACACAAATCTGTCCATAGAGCTCTGTACCTCCCGTTCCTTTAAGACTTTCCTAAAATGGGCCATAACATTGTCATTGTACAGGTTGCCAACACAGCTTGCAGTAGTTGTGTCAGGGTGATTTTCATCCGTAAAGGTTTGCAGTTCAACCCACTTTGCACGCATTTCCTTAATCTCTTTTTTCAATTCCATACTACTTCTCGCCCTTTTTACCACAGGGATGGCACTAGAAGCTTTCTTGGGGTCCATGGTGACTTATTTTGCAGTTACAAGCACTAAAAACACTGGGATAATGTGAAATGTACCGAATGTATGCATAGATGCGACCGCACTGGCTGGCTTGTAAACAGCTGGAACAGCATCAGACCACAGCTAAGGAACTTACTTCAGAGGAGGAGGAAAAGAGTGAAGGAGGTGCCTTCTTCGGTGATTAAGGACGTGTGTTCCAAGTGGAATGAGTTGCAAAGTTTTGTTGAAAAGTATCACCCTGACCAAGCTGAAACAAGCCATATCTGCAACATGTTCAGTGACAAAACCTTGTCCCACTTCAGGCAAATCATGAAGAAATGCCAGAAACAGACCTCTTTGGACAGATATTTTGTGCGACAGGGGTCCAGTGGCTCTCAAGTTGTTCTCAGTGGCATTAAAAGAAGAAGGGAAGTAACCCCAGAAAAGGACTTGCTACCTGAAGTCCTAATGGAAGGAGATTCTCCTTCCAAACAATAGTGTACACCTTCCTCTTATCCCCTCCTCCTGTCTTCCATCCACCCAGAAGTATTCAGTAAAGGTAAGTGTAATGTTATTATTTTTTATATGCATGTACTACTTGATTTCTGATTGTTTTCAGTATGTAAATCTTTATTTAATTTGAAAAAAATATTTTATTTTAATATTTTTGGGTGTCTGGAACGGATTAATTTTATTTCCATTATTTCTTATGGGGAAAATGGTTTCGAGTTTTGTGAATTTCGACTTTCGGCAGGCTCTCTGGAACGGATTAATCACGAAACTCGGGGGTCCACTGTATTTCCATTATTTCTTAGGGGAAATATTGCTTCGCCTTTCAAACTTTTCAACTTTAGAACTAGCTCCTGGAATGGATTAAGTTCGAAATTTGAGGTTCCACTGTACTTTGCTACGAGTTCTTTCTTGAATTCTATCGTATTTCTCACCTTCTTTATCAAAGGGCTGGCACTCGGAGCTTTCTTTGGCCCCATGGTGGCTTATTTAGCAGTCACAATCAATAAACAAGCACAAAAAACAATGGACTATTACAAAATGTTTCGGATGAGCTCGCAGGGTGATGCTCACTCAAATAGAAAAAAAGGCAGATTGAGTTACTAAAGCATGGGATGCTTTGTGTGGGCGCTTGAGTGGCCAAGTCATGCAGACGCATTTGGTACAGACCATTTTCAACTCTATGAAAACCGAGCGGATATACGAAAACTGGGGCAAAATTTTGACTAAAACTGGGGCAAAATTTTGACTAAAACTGGGGCAAAATTTTGACGAAAAAAGTCATCGAAAGCCGAATCCTACGAAAACTGGGGCATACGAAAACCAAGGTTCCACTGTATTACGTACTGTACAGTAAATGTAAACAAATGAATGCCTGATCAGAATGTCTGAAAAATACACTGCCTTGTTATGTATTTTTATTCACTATAAAATGCTAACCCAGTACCAAGTCAAACAGTACCAGGGTACTGTACCTAGTTATGTAAAATTACCAAGTACATATTGTAATTAACCCTTTGAGGGTTTTGGTCGTACTAGTACGTCTTACGCGTAGGGGTTTTTGACGTACTAGTACTCATAAATTCTAGCGGCCTCAAATCTAGTGGGAGAAAGCTGGTAGGCCTTCATATGAAAGAATGGGTCTATGTGGTCAGTGTGCACAGTCTAAAAAAAATCCTGCAGCACACAGTGCATAATGAGAAAAAAAAAACTTTGACCATTTTTTTTTAATAAATCAGCGACTTTGCAGTGTATTTTCGTATGGTATTTATTGTTGTATTCTAGTTTTCTTGGTCTCATTTTATAGAATGGAAGACATATTACAGAAATTGAGATGATTTTGACTGGTTTTACAATGAAAGGTGCCTTGAAATTGAGCTCAAAGTAGCAGAAACGTTCGATTTTTACCAAACTTCAAAAGTAAACAAATCGTGCCAAGCGTGCAACACACGTCAACTGGTGAGTCTAATATTCTTTCACAAGTGCACCAATAATATTTATACCATTTTTTACACTAATGCAGTACTCTGCATAACAGTAAATCTTATATTTTTTGTGAAAATAAAAATTTAAAGTGGAAAGCAAAAGAATATAAGAGGGGCCTTGAGACGTGACTAATGACTAGAGGAAATGTCATTTTAGTGCCAGGAATGTCTTTCTTGTTTATTCTGGACCCTATTCGGAAATTGGCATCTTTTGAAATTTGTGTGAAATTGGCAAAATTGCTAAATTCTGACCACTGTACTGGATAGTTGAATTTCATAAATGGGTGGTTTCTTGCACCCATTCGATAGAAAAAATGGAGTTCTAGCGAAATATTCATGTTTTTTGTCGACTAGTACAGTGAAATTGGCCGAAAATGGGGCTCAAAGTGGGCAAAATCGCCGATGCGTAAACATCGCTGAGACCGCTAACTTTGCGAGAGCATAATTCCGTAAGTTTTCTATCAAATTTCAAACTTTTGGTGTCTTTATGATCGGGAAAAGATTCTCTATCTTTTCATAAGAGAAAATAATTTTTTTTTTTTTTAAATTTGGCCGACCCTGAGAACGAGTTTCGGAGAGGGCCTGTCGACCCTCAAACGGTTAAAGTACGTACAGTGAAACTCCGGTTTTCGCAGGCTCCAGTTATCGAACATTTCAACCTTAGGACCATTTGTGCGAAACTTTGTTCCAGATATTGGACCTTGATCCAGTAATCAGATGTACTATACGTGTCCACCTGGGCCGCTCATACGTTCATGCCTCATTCTTGGGCACATTAAATGTCTTGTTTCATGCTAATACAGACATTTTCAAAATTATATAAGAAACACGTTACACAGCATAAACATTGCATGTTTATATGCCATCAAGTGGAGAGTCGGGTGGAGAGTAAACATTACATTTTCTCTGATTCAGCGTTAGAGAAAACTGTGAATCTGGCATATCACCAAGTAACCACCCTTCATATGCATTTGTTTAAAATTCTCGGTATGAATTATTCATTACCTCTCCCTTTGTTTATGATGGCATTTAAAGGTAGTTGTGAGAAACGATTAAACTTAGTGAACAAGGTATGCTGATGCTAACAATATTGCTCTGGGCTGCATTAAATATAGTGTAGGTGCACGTATGTAGTCCAGGCTACCTACTGACTACCTACATCTACCGGCTACTTAGTGAGTAAGTTTATTCAGGTATACACACAGAGTTACATAATCATACATAGCAGCATATGTGTAGAGAACCTAGGATAACCCAAAAGAAGTCAGACACAGTGACTTCCTACAGAAAAATACTACTCACCTCTCATCCTACATTAAGACTACAAATGCTTTAAGGTAAGTAATGAATGTGGAAGAGCTAACCACTGAAGAGCTGCAACACTATATATAGTTAATCTTTAAAAAACTTATTTTTTAATATTTTTGGGTGTTTGAAATGGATTAATTGTATTTACATTATTTCTTATGGGAAATATTGATTCAGTTTTCACACGTTTCGGTTTTAGAACAACCTTCAGGAACGGATTAAGTTCGAAAACCAGGGTTCCACTGTACAGGTATTGGTACATATTACAGCATTTATTGCAAAACTCAAATTCTATGCCTTGTAAATTCTGATGACCCCACAATACACCAGGCCTACAGTACAGTTCAAATAAAATAGTAATATACAGCCTTGAAGTTCTACACATCTTGAATTCTACTCAATCAGCCTGGCTTGGTACAGGTACTTGCAATAAACTTTAAATTTGAGTTGTTGCTCTATTTCAATTAGTAATTTGTATCTTCTGTATCTCAATAAAAGCTCATTCTGTAAAGTGCTTTTTCTTCCGAGTGTCAATATTGATCAGATTAGGGTGATAAAAGGATATGGTCTTTGAAACAAAAAATAAGCCTAAATCTAAAACAAAATTTGTTATGCAGACGTAATTTTGCTTTACTTGTAGTTTCTAGTTGTGCAGGACCTCTATACACCTTTATATACCTTACTTTTGATGGGTTTCGACAGTTTTTCTACGCCCTGAGCCTGGCCCTGGGCTAGGCTCATCTATGAGCATAATTCCTCTCAAATAAAATAGAATAAAATCCCAGTGAATTCATAGAGACAAGTGTACTGCACTTGCAGAAGACTAGTGAACAAAATGACCAAGTGCTTCCCTTACCTATGATGCTGTCAAAATTGCTACTGTCTAACTGCAGAGCCCCTCCCTGTATTCTGGTAAACTGCACAACCACCTGAAACAAAAAATTATTTATCAATGTTTTTATTTGAAATTAACTATTCAAAAAAAAAAAAATATGCATGTATGCACCCATATGCACACTCATGCACCCATCATAATAATAATAATTTTTATTTCCTCGAGCCATTCAAAAAACATAATTAAATATTTTAGTACAATAGTATGCACAAAAGAAAGCCATAAATATTCAATGCATTTCTGACAAGTAATCATAAGGCTTACATGTTAATTAAGAAAACATGTAAAACTTCTTATGCAGTTAACTACAATCATTGGTACAATAAGAAAGGTAGCTAATGACAAAAAGCCAATTATGTATAAAAGAATTATTTAAACTGGTTTGATGGTCTTCAGTTTTATGGCATGACTGAATAGAGATGAAAATACAGCAAGCTACTTCAATCAAACGAATAAAATGGGGTGTTACGCCGAAATGCGACTTTGTAAAGTACATTCAAATTTGTCTAATATTAATTGCAAATTATCTTATTAATAAACTTTAAAAATAGGATAATCAGCTTCATAAAAAATATATTCATTTTCTTCTTTCCCATTACAATTTAAGTATATATTTATAGATGATGGATCGTTCACCATTGGTTTATGACCAATTAATGATTGGTGACCATCACCTCTGCACTACTTTCCCTGACGCGAGCTGAGTCAGGTTGTGAGTGATGGGGTTAGGTAAGAGATAGTCTTTTCGTCTTCAGAAGGGTCCTCCTTGCTTGCTACATTTACTTCGACTTAGAACTTCTTGAGTATAGCATTACAAGTACGAACCTCGTTTTCATCAATAAATCTTCCAGAAAGTCTGACTAAACCGATTATTCAACGAAAATGGAAGCAACATTTCCCATAAGAAATAATGTAAATCCAATTAATTCATTCCAGACACCCAAAAGTATTAACAATACATTTTATAGAGAATAACTATAGTTTTACATACAGAAAACAATGAGAAATAAATATAAAGGACTAAAGAAATGGATAAATGAACATTTAACATCACTTTTACCTTTATCGAAGACTCTTGTTGGCGAGTGGAAGATGGCGAGGGGGGGAGAGGGGAGAGGTTATCTCTACCACCATCACTACACCCTCTACCACCATCACTACCACCCTCTACCACCATCACTACCACCCTCTACCAACATTATTACCACCCTCTACCACCATCATTACCACCCTCTACCACCATCACTACCACCCTCTACCACTCTACCACCATCATTACCACCCCACCACAATCACTACCACCATCACAACCACTACCACCTCTACCACTATCACTACCACCCTCTACCACCATCATTACCACCTCTACCACCATCATTACCACCCTCTACCACCATCACTACCACCCTCTACCACCATCACTACCACCCTCTACCACACTCCACCCTACCACCCCTCTACCACCATCACTACCACCCTCTACCACCATCACTACCACCATTACCACCTCTCCACCATCACTACCACCCTCTACCAACATCACTACCACCCTCTACCACCATCACTACCACTCTCTACCACCATCATTACCACCCTCTACCACAATCACGACCACCATCGCAACCACTATCACCCTCTACCACCATCATTACCACCCTCTACCACCATCATTACCACCCTCTACTACCATCACTACCACCCTCTACCACCATCACTACCACCCTCTACCACCATCATTACCACCCTCTACCACCATCATACCACCCTCTACCACCATCATTACCACCCTCTACCACCATCACTACCACCCTCTACCACCATCACTACCACTCTACCACCATCATTGCCACCCTCTACCACAATCACTACCCCCATCACAACCACTACCACCCTCTACCACCATCATTACCACCCTCTACCACCACCATTACCACCATCTACCACCATCACTACCACCCTCTACCATCACTACCACCCTCTCCCACCATCACTACCACCCTCTACCACCATCATTACCACCCTCTACCACCACCATCATTACCACCCTTAACCACCACCATCATTACCACCCTTAACCACCACCATCATTACCACCCTCTACCACCATCATTACCACCCTCTACACCATCACTACCACCCTCTACCACCATCACTACCCCCCTCTACCACCATCACTACCACCCTCTACCACCACCATCATTACCACCCTTAACCACCACCACCATTACCACCTCTACCACAATCACTACAACCATCACAACCACTACCACCCTCTACCACAATCACTACAACCACTACCACCCTCTACCACAATCACTACCATCATCACAACCACTACCACCCTCTACCACCATCACTACCACCCTCTACTACCATCATTACCACCATCACTACCACCCTCTACCACCATCATTACCACCATCATTACCACCCTCTACCACCATCACTATCACTCTCTACCACCATCACTACCACCCTCTACCATCATCACTATCACTCTCCACCACCATCACTACCACCCTCTACCACCATCCCTACCATCCTCTACCAACATCACTACCACCATCATTACCACCCTCTACCACCATCACTACCACCCTCTACCACCATCACTACCACCCTTTACCACCATCACTACCACCCTCTACTGACGAGAAACAAAGCCAGACTGACTCAGAACGAGTGAGATGCTTTGTGTGGGCACGAGCGGACATGTTCGGTACGCTGGACTGCTCTCAATTTGATGAAAACCAAGGTGATGAATGAAAACTGGGACAAAATTTCGACGAAAAGTCATCGAAAACTGAATTCGATGAAAACAAGGGCAAACAAAAACCGAGGTTCCACTGTATTCTCTCAGTCTCTAGAAAGTGTGAGTACTTGTGACACTTTCACTTAGAAGCTCTCCTGTGTTTAAGAGACTTCCATTACTCTGGTAAGATTGTAAGTTGTTAAACTTTGATTGTCTCTGGGCGTAGAGACTCTGTGACTTAATCAATTCTATGTATAAAGACCTATTCAGTCAGAATGGATGTCATTGTAAACTGTATATGTATAATTTAAAAGTCTGTTAAGTGTTTGTATCTAATTGATAAGTTAAAGGTACCATTAACCCTTTGAGGGTCGACAGGCCTTCTCCGAAACTTGTTCTCAGGGTCGGCCAAATTTAAAAAAAAAAAAATTATTTTCTCTTATGAAAAGATATAGAATCTTTTCCCGATCATAAGGACACCAAAAGTTTGAAATTTGATGGAAAACTTACGGAATTATGCTCTCGCAAAGTTAGCGGTCTCGGCGATGTTTACGCATCGGCGATTTTGCCCACTTTGAGCCCCATTTTCGGCCAATTCCACTGTACTAGTCGACAAAAAACATGAATATTTCGCTAGAACTCCATTTTTTATATCGAATGGGTGCAAGAAACCACCCATTTATGAAATTCAACTATCCAGTACAGTGGTCAGAATTTAGCAATTTTGCCAATTTCACACAAATTTCAAAAGTTGCCAATTTCCGAATAGGGTCCAGAATAAACAAGAAAGACATTCCTGGCACTAAAATGGCATTTCCTCTGGTCATTAGTCACGTCTCAAGGCCCCTCTTATATTCTTTTGCTTTCCACTTTGAATTTTTATTCTCACAAAAAATATAAGATTTACTGTTATGCAGACTACTGCATTAGTGTAAAAAATGGTATAAATATTATTGGTGCACTTGTGAAAGAATATTAGACTCACCAGTTGACGTGTATTGCACGCTTGGCACGATTTGTTTACTTTTGAAATTTGGTAAAAATCAAACATTTCTGCTACTTTGAGCTCAATTTCAAGGCACCTTTCATTGTAAAATCAGTCAAAATCATCTCAATTTCTGTAATATGTCTTCCATTCTATAAAATGAGACCAAGAAAACTAGAATACAACAATAAATACCATACGAAAATACAGTGCAAAGTCGCTGTTTTATTCCAAAAAAATGGTCAAAGTTTTTTTTTTCTCATTATGCACTGTGTGCTGCAGGATTTTTTAGACTGTGCACACTGACCACATAGACCCATTCTTTCATATGAAGGCCTACCAGCTTTCTCCCACTAGATTTGAGGGCGTTAGAATTTAGGCGTACTAGTACGTCAAAAACCCTGGGTCGTAAGCCGTACTAGTACGTCCGAAACCCTCAAAGGGTTAAAATACCTTACGACCATAACATAATATACGTTATTAAAGATATATTTTATGAAGTTTTTATGTTCTCACATCATAACTTCTTATTATGTTTTGTTCATGGTTATATCTAATACAAATAAACCCCTAGGTGCAAGCCACATATCCTACAGTAATTAGTAATATGGGGCAATATATGTTACCAATTATGTATGGGAGTTGAAGGAAAGACTTGAAGAACAGGGACAGAATTGGATTAAAGCTGGTTTTGTTTCACACAGTGTATTGCTGTCTGGCTGAACTGACTGGCAGACAGGGGATCTTCAGATGTTTCAGGCAGGGATTTCCAGATCTTTGGGCCTTTTATGCACAATGAGCTTTTACACAGGTTGAGTCAGAAACATCGGATGTCAAAGATATTTTTGTCTTGTGTTATGCTTGGGTGTTCTGTTACAGCTATCAAAGAAAACTTTCAGAGAATGATTTATATTAGAATTGACTGTCCTGTATATGTAGTATTCACAGTAGTACAAGTACATATTGTGTATATTAAGTTTAAGTTTCTGAAGAGTGGTGGAGTGTTTTCTGGCACTGGACTGAGTAATTATTCTCACAGCAGCTTTTGTAGTTATTATTGGTTTTAAGTGATCTGGCATACTAGAGCACAGATACGAATACCATTCAAATTCAAATTCAAAGTTTATTCTCTATAAAGATTACAATGTTGAATTTACAGAATTTGGTTGTTGTGTGGTTTACATGTAGTTAAATAATGATTACAGAGTGTACCACTAGAACGCCTAGCATGGCTAGGCATTTCGGGCAGACTTAGTTTAATTCTTTATTTTAAAATATTACAAATTATGAGGTAAGT